CCCCCCCCCCCCCCCCATTACCCCTAGGCTTTCTAGGCCCACTAGTAGTTGGCCCCCATATGTTGGCCCTCTTCTGATGGCTGCATTCCACCCAGCCTATTACCCATACCATAGGAAAACCCTGGATGCATTTAAGCTCTATACAACTTGGCCATGAGGTAGAAACAATTTCACCACAGGGCTGCCGGCAATGATAAGATCTATCAATGAAGGAAACGCTCATCATTGATGAAACAAAGTTTAAAATTGCAACTCTATTCTTCATGTTTTGAAAACTATCATCCATTATGTTTGTGTGTGTTGTTCAAGTAACCTTAATGCTCTGTTGTACTTTGCAGCATCGGCTCTAGGGGACCCCCAAATGACTACACTTGATGGTAAAAAATATGCCATGAATGGATGTGGTGTTTACACAATGATGGATATTCCATCACAAAACTTTACACTTCAGGTAGTGTAGACTTAGGTTATTAGCCAATATTTTATTTCAATAAAGGCTGCTCATTACTTTTGTCTCCGGAAATCGGTATGAAAGAAATTTGTTTAAAAATGAAAATTGTTTGACGGAAGTTTGTTTGAATGTTAATTATTTCAAAACAAAAGTTTGTTTAAAATTAAATTTCTAAAAGGGAGTTTTATTTATTCATTTTGTATTTAAATTTTTAAAGTTGAAATGGAAATTTATTAATAAATAAAATATATTTTTGTTGGTTCTTTCCCATTATTTCACTGTGAACAAATTTCCGTTCCAACTGCCATCAAAAATAAATGTTCCGTCAAACAAATTTCTTACATTCAAATTTCCAGTAGCATTACCTTCTTAGGTTTTGGACAAAATATTTTTATGCCCGTTTTGCCATGACATCTTGAAACAGCTGTCAGGAAAGACTATCTGAGTTCACTGCTGAAAGAGTTTCCATATCTTTATTTTTTTAAAGTCATCTTCAGTATAAAGTTTATATTTTATCTTTCTTTGATTGATAGTGCCTAACAATAAATTTTACTAATTTTTTTTTTTTAATTTTTTATAAGGGGTTATGCAAGATGGCAACCTCTATTTCCAGTTAGGATTTAATATAGTCAATTTTGAAATTGATTACTATCAATATTTCAGGCCCGCACTGGCCGGGCAGAAACAAAGAAAGGAACCCTTACTAATGCCACAGTTTTTGTTGGATTTGCTGTAGTGGAGGGAGACTATCCTATGTTTCAAGTGACATTGTCATCTACAAGCAATAGTATGTTGTGCTGACAAAGAGTAGTTTGTTACTTTTTTTTATAATAAGAAATAAGGACTTTTACTTAAATTTACAGAAAAAAATGTGTGTTCAACCATTCTTTAAACAAAATATTAAATAGCATTTTTATTAAATTAAAAAATGAAACTATTATTAAAAGTAAAAGTCTTTGATGAAAAAAATTAAGTTTAATAACTCACTTTCTATTTGTCTCACAGCTATGGTTCTCTTTGCTGATGACCTTGACGTAACAAATGATTTCTACGCTCAAGACAATTACAGCTCTTCAACAGGATACATGAACATCAGATGTGAAAACAGAAACAATGTGACAACTGTTGTAGCAGTGTTTCCCTGGGGTAAAGCAGGTGATGACTATTTATGAGCTACTTTTATTTTGAAATTTTTATTTATTGTTAATTTGTAGTATCAGCTTTCAAAAACATAACATTTCTTTATAATATTTAACACTATTTAGTTAATTTTTACTTTATTTTTATCTACAGCAAATACATTTTATCTATATTACTTTCCAGAAATTAAATAAGTTGTTTTAATTAGTATTTTACAATAAAATAGTCAATTGAAAATTCCTTTGGTATGATAAAATAATATTAAGTCTTACAAAAAATGTAGGTTTGTTTTTTATATGGCTAAGCTTCAGTCAAATGTAAGAAAAAGACTTAAATGCCTTATCCATAAGACTATAAATTTGTCAAATCTATTTCTTTTCATTATTTACCTAAAACACTAAGTGTTTGTTATTTAATTTTTTACTGGTGATTCCTTTCTTATGGATTTTTTTTTCTCATCAGAAACTTAATTCTCATTTAACACACTTTAAGTGGATGAACAGAGTATAGGCATTATTCTAGCAAATGTTTGCATTTATTTCGTTAAATTTTACCTCACAGACTAGGATGATTGATATTTATTTTTTAAATCGTTTTACCTCCATTTATTTAAATCTTAGTTTAGACTATCATTATTTAATCTCTGAACATCCCAGGTGTATCCATCAAAGTGAGTTTGGGTGTAAAAAGTTTGAAGCTGGAAATGGAAGTGGACAAATCCCTACAGGACAGGACCAGAGGTCTTCTAGGAAACTTGAACATTAACAAAAATGATGAGTTCCAGTTACAAGATGGCACGGTGCTGTCCCAAAATCTAACAGAGGCAGATTTTTTATCTGTTTGCCAAAACATGTGAGAATTCTAAGTTTCATTAAATATCCTATGAGTATTATTCAAAGTTGTAGTTCCTCCCTCAAGTAGTATATGGTGTTGCGTGGGACTCTATTGTGTTTCTGAAAAAACATTTTACTTTTTTTTCCAATGCCAATGATCAATTTTACAAGGTTTATCTGCAATGAAATAAGTTTTTATCAAACTATAGCAGATTTTTAAATATTCTTTTATACTTATTTTTGGATGATTTGTCTGATTCGCAGAGCCAAATTATGGCATAGAGACTTCATGTATTTAGTTTCATATTTAGGTGTTTTTTTTCTCCATATTAAAAGTAGGCTTAAATTAAGATAATTGTAAAGCAAGTTGTTTATTCCTTTTCCTTTAAATTTTTGTGATATTTAAGAAATAATTTTTTAATTTTTTAATGAATTCAGACTTTTGGAAAAAATTTAAACTTTTTGACCAAAATCATTTGCTTGGATCAATATATCTTATAGCTATTTATTATATTTAGAAAAGACATGCCCAAACAAATCATTTTTCAAGAAGTCGTATAGTTACAAATTACTTTACAACAGGGACTTTAAATGGTTGGGAACAATAGCTTCGAGTAGAGTATTTATAATTATTACATCTTAAAAATATTTTACAACTCTGTACATTTGAAATTACTGAAAGATTTTTAATTTGTATTCACTAAAGAAATAATTTTTTTAAATGTATAATCTTTTAAATATCTTCAGGTACCGGTAATTAAAATAAATCAATTTATGCAATGTGAAGAATCATTTCAAATTTTTTTCATTTCTTATTTAAATGTTTAAAAATGTTAAATTCTAATTACGTTAACTCTTCCATTCCAAAGCTAACAAACAATATATATTTATTATTTGATACAGATGTTTCGCCAGCTGACTCCATTTTCAACTTTGTAGATGAAAATGTCAGCAGAATTGCATGCCAAAATATGGAACCAATATTCAGAGATGAATTTAATCCTGCTGACTTGTCCAGAGCTGTAGAGTTTTGTGGCAATGAAAATGATGCTTGCATATTTGATTACATGCCTACAGGAGATGAGACATTTGCACAAAATACGAGGGATAGCCAGAATGAAATCGAGGCTATCATGCAAAGTCTAAGTAAATATAATTGACAACTTTAAAAAGTTAATATAATTATTGTGATATTTTAATTTGAACCATGACACAAACATAGCTTAATTAAAATTTTCATGATAATATCATTTTCTGATTTCTAATCTTTGTTTAAATCCATGACCATAACAGTCAACATTTATAGAATAATGTTCAGTTACTGAAACAAAAAATATTAGATTATAAATGTATCCCTTTAGAATATTGGCTTTTATTAGCCCTGGAAAATATTAAATAAGTTCATGAAAAGCTAAAGTTATCACATTTGAGCATCAATTTGGATTATATGTGAACCGCTTTTTGGTTGTTAGATTATTTTATTGCAGCTCTCAAATTTCAGCACCTTTAAAAAAAATAATAACACATTCTTTATAATATTTATTGCTTCAAATATTTATTTATTGACCAAAAAGAATCCCTAAATGGTCACATTTATTTAAGTTGAAAGCAAAGTTTGCTACCAACTCTTTGCAGTCAAAAAATGTATTTTGCCTATAATAGTATGCAACAATATTCTTTTAGTATAATATTAAAATAATCCATGAGGTTTACATTAGCATTTGAAAAACATATTTTGTTTGCTTTTTATTAACACCCTTTTTTACTTTTCTCCTTCATTTTTTTTTTTTTACTTTGCTCCTGCCTTTTTTTTTTTATTTTGCTCCTGCCTTTTTTTTTTTTTTTTTTTTCTTCCTTTTTTTTTTTTTTTTTTTCTTTCTTTTTTTTTTTTTTTTTTTTTTTGTTTTTTTTTTTTTTTTTTTTTTTTTTCTTTTTTTTTTTTTTTTCTTTTTTCCTTTCTTTTTTTTTTCTTTTCTCCTTCCTTTTTTTTTTTTTTTTCTCCTTTCTTTTTTTTTTTTTCTTTGCTCCTTCCTTTTTTTTTTCTTTGCTCCTTCCTTTTTTTTTTTTTCTTTGCTCCTGCCTTTTTTTTAAAATGAAACGAGGAGCCTTTTTTTTTTTACCTTGCTCCTCCCTTTTTTTTTTTACTTTTCTCCTGCCTTTTTTTTTTTACCTTGCTCCTCCCTTTTTTTTTTTTTTTTTTTTTTTTTTTTTTTTTTTTTTTTTTTTTTTTTTTTTTTCTTTTTTTTTTTTTTTTTTTTTTTTTTTTTTTTTTTTTTTTTTTTTTTTTTTTTTACTTTGCTCCTGCCTTTTTTTTTGTATTGGAAAATGAATAACAATTGTTTTAATTATAAGAATTTCAACAGTAAAATATTATTGCATTGATGGAATTTAAATTCATCATATTTAAAAATGTTAAATACATGTATGCCTAAACATTTCTTAAGCCTGGCTAACCATTTCAAATATTATAGAAATAAATCTATCAGTTATTGGTTACTCTAAAAGACTCCATAATTCTGTTAGAAAAATAGCATATATAAATACATATCTTTTAAAAACCTTTTTATATCAATAACAAACAAAAACTCATGTCAGTTATTAAAAAACTGTTGTTGATATATATTAGTATTTATTTTTCTCTTATTATTTCAGAGCAATGCTAGTCTAAATACAATAAAAGAAATCCCAACACCAGCTTCCAATATCAGTGATCCTGTGTACAATTGAAGTCTCTTCTATTCCAGCAGTACTGGGTAGGGTTTGTTTATATTTTAAAGTTATTCTAGTGCTGTTAGGTATTAAATACTATTCTGATCTGTATCTCAGTAAATGGAATCCCATCTGCAAGGGTGTTATATCAGCTTGTTTGATTAATAACGCACACAAAAATTTTGAATAAAACAGTATAAGGTATATTTCATGGATAGACACAATACAAATATAAGATGTTTTGTCTAATATCTTTATTATTACTACAACAAAAAAAATGAACAAATTTCATGGATCTAAATTAAATTTTACACAATATACTAAATTATATCTTAACTATTAAATAAGCTAAAGAAAAGATAAAAAAAAGTCCCTCACAAAATGAAAAACCATTTTTAAACCAGCCTATATTTAGAAAAAGAAAAGAAAGGTTAAGACCACCCTTAACATTAACTTAAAACCAGGCCTAAAAATTTAATACATAATTGTTTTAAAAACACACACTTTTATTTAAAGTGTTGAGACTTAATGTAGTTTGTTACAGAAATAGTACT